GAGTGGGGTTTTGGCAATTATTCAGCCACCACATCTACCACCATTTGTAATTCTTGTTGTACTGTACCTGTGGAAAGTCCAGCCCTGTCAGCAGGTCCACTAGGTGCAACTTGTCGCACAAAGACTGTGTCCATGGGCTCTGACTTTTGCCGCTCAGCATCATCAACATGATGATCAATGCCATTAACACCTGGGTCAGGCTGCAGTAAAGGAAAAGCCATGTCATGTTTTGATAAAAAGAAAATATTTCTATTATGTAAACATTGTTTTGAATCAACAGGCTCAAAAAGCTATCAAGGAACAAACAACGATTACAGTTTAGTACCCAACAAGTAACAATGCTTTATAACTGCTAAACCAGACAAAAACTTTCCCCCAAGCTTCCATATCTCAAAATTACATATAACACTTTCTTACAGTTGTGTTTGTGCCCTGTCAAACTTCACCAAGTCAATCACATTTACCCTATTACTGTATGTACTTCTTAACTGTAGGACTGAGAGAACACAAACAAAAGGAAACAAGCATGTTTGTCTGTGTCATCTAAGCCTCATAATTAACCCTTTAATTCCCAAGTAATGTCTGTCAAATGATTCTCGTTATGTTAGTTTGGAGAATTTGGTATTGGATCAATTAGTAATCTCATAATTGATATATTTTTCTCTATTCTAATCACTTTTCTGCATGATATTGGACAGATATAACAAGGAGAAATTCTGTCTTCCTTACTCACAGGAGTTAAAGGGTTAAGCTTAAAGTTTTACTTTAGGAGAAGCCTATTACAAGCTATTTGCCCTTTCCTGTTTCCCTTTTACATGAATGCTGAGCCCAAGGGAATTTCTCTGTTCACATGTTGTAGCAAAACTCAGAAAAAATAAAGGAAGTAAGTCAATTTTTTCTGTCACACCACCTCCACTTGACACAATTGGAACTAAAAATGGTAATGCTATATAAATTGACACCTACCTCACTTGTTTTTCGTATCAGTTCTGGAGGGTAAACAACAAAGTGTCGCAATGTGAATCCAAATCCATTGCTTTGACGCTGCAAACTTATCAACTTGGAGGGCGGGAGATATCCTGGGTTATGTCCAATGTCTTTCTTTTGTTGCCAAGCCAGTTCACTTTCCTAAAGAGAAAATTTAATTCCGCAACAGATGTTACTCAGTGAAAATAACATTCTCATAATACTGTACAAAAGCAGTGGGCACAGTAATCTGTACATTCAGGATCTTTCATAGAGTGTGATACACTCCATACAGAATGACTCCTCATTCATTTATTAATTTTCTTCATTTCAATTTTTCTATATTCTCAATCCCTATACACATACATATATTTGAGATCAAACAATCTCAAAAAGCACATTAAGATTGGAAGAAAATGAGAACTTATGTTAGCAGGATGTCTTCTGTAAAAAGTTCTTCATAGAATTCTCAAAAACTCTGCTTGCATAAAGTTATTGATATCTGCGGAACTCACAAACTATTTAAGATCACTAAAGGTTTATGTTACTTTCACCAGTTAAAAATAAGTTTCACCTCAAGAAAAACCTTCTGCAAACTATATTTAGTCAATGGACTTTAAACTGTCACATGTTAAAATGGAATTAAGCCAGTAATCTTCTTCAATTAAGTATTATTACTTTTTTATGACCCATAGTCAACTGGAGTAATGAGTTTAAATACACTAACAGAATTAAGTTCCAAGGATAACACAATGCAAATGACCTTCAGGTCACCAACTAACACTGTTGGTAATGAACTCAAAATTGAATAATAGAACAGATGTGCAACAGGCACAAAATCACATTCATGAACAAATTATTACCAGTTGTTTTGTGTAACAAAAGATTTGTCAATAAACAATGAAAACCATTATCTGCTTCATTGACATCTGTGTGTTTGAATTAAGAAGTATTAATAGTAAATGATTTGAAAATTATGTTTTTGACTTCTGAAGGGCCAACTTAATAAGTAGGATGTTTTCACTGAGTAAATCGAATGCCCATATTAATGAGGTGACTTTTGAAATAATTCATTATACAAAACAAATTCTTGAAAAGTTGACAAAAAGTCTGAGAAATTAACAAGATTAGGTAACTGTGACAAAATTGAAAATTGAAAAATAAAAAAGAAGTACCAACAACTGAGGAATGTAAAGACCACTGTACACAGTAGTAAATGAAAGGCTTTTGTTTAATAGCATTACCCACTGTTCCAAGCTTTAGACATCTATAGAAGGTATTATGAAAATGCTGGTGGCCAGTAATTTCTCAAGCACACAAGAACAATTAGTTTTTAAGCTTAAGTTGATAATTTTGGTGAAAGACCTATGTATTTTTCTTAGGAGGGGGGGGGGAGGGGAGTGGTTGGAAAGTTATATTAGATGTTATAATAATAAGTATTAATATTGTAATTACTATATTATCTTTTTCATGTTGGAAATCTGTAAACTAGCCCAGTGGCTAAGTGTTTCATCCATTGTAAATAAAATTATCTATCTAAATATCTATCAAAATGATAATTGCTGATGGGTCATAAATAGAAAAAAAGTTAACAGCTAGTTTTTTTCAGTTATGCTAAAATTTCATTTATAGTCTCCACATTTCAGTTGTATAATATTCAGACCTAAGGTTGGGTACATCATGTGTCTATTATTTTCAAAAAGCCACATTATTAAATGCATTTTAAAAAATTTTTTCCTCATTCCTACATGCAAAAGTTTCTTTCGCTGACTCGTTAATTACTGAAGCATTGTAATCAGTTTGATGGTAAAATAAATTCAAAACCTACACCAACAGATAAGCAGCAAACGCTTTTCTGCACGAACTTAAGTGTCTAAACATTTGACAATTTAACAACAGTTAACAGGAATAATACTACAAATCAATGTGTGCAAATGTACAAAAGAAACTCATACAAAGAACCTCAGAAATAAAAGTGTAATAAAAAAAAACTTTCTGGTAATTTTAGGTCGTTTTAAGAGGTAACTTTACAAAGAACAAACTAATGCTTCTTATGATCATTCATTTGACAATACATGCACACATCATTTCTTGAAACTACTCTTGATCGTTAACAGCTTTCAGTATGTGCATGAAATTTGTATTCAACACAAACAAAGAAATTCTTAACATTATTACCAAATGCAAATTTACTCATCAACAATAGAAAACTCTGTAGGTCAATCTTAACTTGAAACACAGCGACAGATTGTGTTCATTGTGGCGAATTCGCTCTGGTGTCCTCCAGATTGTGTTTACGAATGACTGATTTCATGTTACAGGTTTGCTGTGAAGTAATGTTTAAATTTCATTGAGAGATTTTAAGTACTGAGCACTCAAAAGAATAAAAGAGCCAGCTATACACTAGGTTTGTACACCAACGCGTTTGTGCGTTATAGAACGAAATTTCATTTTCCCTTACGGAATGTAAAGGCTTCCATTCAGCGTTACATCATAATTGAGATCTCTTTCCGTCAGTAAAATTCAACAGAGCTTCTGCTTCAACATGATCAGTTCAGGAAAAAAAAATTAATCTGTTTACCCCAAAGAATACCGCTAACACAATACAAAGAGGTAATTGCATCTATTGAAGTGACCAGAAGCTTACGTATAATATAACAAAAAAACTACATTCAATTCACATCCTATACCCGCAGTGTGAAAAGATCTGTTCGGCTACATTTGCTTACAATGCAATATTTACCACGAAATGCTCATTGAATACAACATTCTGCATTAAAAATTAAAAACAATTGACCCTCAAATGAAAAGGAAATTAATCTTTTACCGCATGAGTACCCTAGCAGGCTAATCACACTATTTTCAAATTACGCTCCGACACTACACAAGCGACAGACGATGATCGTAGTCACAAGAACCGAAGGTCGCCATGTTTTAAAAGTGGTAACTGTCATCTTCAACATCTTATAAAGTTTTGGCAACAACATTGACGCAATCGAATTTTTTTTCCTTTCAGAACTAGCGATCGGATAAAAATTCTTTTCAGTAAAAAAAAAAAAAAAAAAAAAAAAATGAATGCACGCTGAACGAAGATATCTCGCATGAACGCGGACGTGAAATCACAGTTCCTAGTGTATGTTAATTCCAATAAATCACTACATAGCCATAAATAACTTGGTTAGTGGGTATTGTATCCTGAAATAACAACAAACAGGTCTCTAAAAATGAACGCGCCGGACACCAAGACACCATTGTGCAAACATATTTGAATCCAGACGTACGATTCACACATATTCAAAGCCTCACGCGGCTAAAGAATACTACTGGATTTAGAACGGTACTTCACCTCGCCGAAATAGGATTACATCGAAACGACTTATCAATAAAAATAGCCAGTATTAAGCTAAATTCTATGTATTTCCGAATACCTGAGTCGAAACTAGTTTCGCGTGAGAAAACTCTCTATTATAGTAAAGTTTACAAAGTGAGGTATTCTATAACATGACATTAACTCAAACATAAACAAGGTTTACTGTTCAGTTTACGCACGGTTGCAAGTAACAAACTGAACTCTAATAAACATCTACTGAAAATGAAATTATTATTTAAGATAAAAGGAACCAACCAAAAGGGTGCAGACTAGATGTTCGACACCAGAAGAAAAGAATTGGCTGAGGAATTCTACACCCTGCTGAAAAAATTTGCAATGTTTAAGAATAGCGATTGTCGAATTGGATCAACAAGACCCATAACCGCTGTTTAAAACAGAAACATAGAGATAACTCACCTCAACGCTGCCTCTAATAGAAGCCATATGTTAGTGAACAAAGGCTAAATTTAACCCATGATGAAGAACCAGCACAGACAGGGTACAGTCAGCAATGCAACTAGTAAACTTGTGCTGGATACAGAAGAAAGTCGCAATTCTTGAGCACGTCGAAATAAATTACTCCAGTTGATAATTCGTAATTAATCGTTTGTATTCCAAATAACGAATAACTCGTTGCACTTCTGGGGTAAGAAACTCTCAAAATAACCGATGCTAAACTCCTAACCAAATCACAGATCAACGAAGGAGTAAAAACTGCCTTGACCTTCCAAAAGGAACTTCAATATTAGACTGACATATGGGCCGCCGAACGCTTCGTCCAATTCAACAAAGGCGAACACCGCACTTTACACACGTAAATTCCTATTATTATTATCTGGAAAATAGACGACTCGTGAATTGATATTCTAATGATCAATGGGCGTCGACACAGAATCATCCAGCAAACACATCCGGCGCAACTATCGGACTCGAACGTAGAAATCTTCGGGCTTCCCGTGAGCGAAGTAAGAAGTAAGCTACTTCAAAACAACATTCCATGAAACGGATGCTCCATAATGCGACATAAACTTCCTCGCATGCAAACCAAAAACACAGCCAGTAGCTGTGATACAGCCCTCTAAAGCCCTCAGCACTTCAAAAACGGCAAACCGAGCACCAGTTTACAGAGTAAAACTTCCAATTTCTCGACTAATCTCTCGCGGCCTCTCGCTTGGCCAGCGCCGAGGAAAAATTATCACGTGACTACAAATTCCGATCCTTCCTTCAGATTGACTTGGAAATGAGGCTATAGTAATAAAAGATGGCGCGGATGTCAGATTTCATCAAATTTCGATTATTCCTTTCGTTCCTTTAATCCACTTAAAACGTGTTTCGGCCGGATCGGACCGTGCCTTACGTATGCATATTCCAGACAGAGTGAAAAGGGCGTAACATAGTGATATCTGTTCGTGACTTTTTGACGCATTGTCATGAGTGACTCATGACAAATAGTTAAACGGAGTAGGACGCTGGTATGTCATTCATTTCGCAACCAAATTCACCGGAAGCGAGATCAGATAAGATAAGCAATTAATTTCGGGATTGGTAAACCTCAATTGCTACCTAAATAGCCGAAATGTATTCAAAATTAGCCAATTAGTTAGCTAATGCTTTTATTAATTTTTTAATTTTTTACGTTGCTGTTTTTTTTTAATTCTAAATAGCAAAGAGTTTAGTTCGTGATTTAGCGTACGGAAAGCCAAACGAAAGCATAAAAAATCGAGCATGAATCAGATCTAAATTTTTTAAATGACTTCCTGCTTAGGATCGCTCAAGAGACCCCCATTTAGTTGGGATTTACATACGTCATGGGCAAGGGGTGTAACTTTTCGCCACAAACGCCCTATCAAAAGTCGTTCTGTTTTCACGTCTCGAACGCCATCAGTAAACGAAACCAAACAGACGATTAAGTCTAGGCCCAAATATAGGCCGTTTGATCGATTTGCGCAGTGCGATTTTTTTTTCTCCTCTTCCCAGTGTTTCGTTAACTGTTTTCAGTGGATCATCTACGGCCAAACAGAGCCGATATGATCTTCTATTTAGTCAATTGTGATTTACCTCAGATCCACCCGTTTCTCTGGATTGTCGCCGTCCCAGTCTTTACTAACCACGATTTTTCAAGAAAATTGAATAAATCTTGATTAAGTGTGCGTTAGTTTGAGGTTCACATTTTCTTTTTCCTTCAGTTCACGCCATTCCATTTTTTTTTTCATTTCAAAACTGAAATCACCCATCTCAGATTTAACACCTTACCATCTAACAAACGCTCCATGAATAATTCCACTAATATCAACTTCCGGTTTCGCCGAACGGAAATACATTCCACTCTGACTTGAAAACAAGTATTGATTTCTTACAAAGGGGCAATAAAGGATATTTCTCTCTACTTGATCACGATATTTCCTTTGTCAAATACGGGCTCCCGATCCCAATAAAACTACGATAAAATTACAATAGAAAATAATCACCTATTTATTTTCTCTCTGAAATAGTCACCACCTGGGTTGGGTGTTCGCAGAAAATCTGTCAGTCCTTTTATCATAAAATTTATTTGAATTTGAAGGTTAATATTCTAAAAAATTGACTGACTCGCATGAAAGAAATAAAAAAAGATAAAAATTAAGAAAATAAAAATCGAATAGAATGAAGAGCTCTTTGGTTGAGTGTTCACAGTTCTTCGAGTCAATTTTGATGCGTGAGTGTTCCAAAGCAGTTTAAGAGGCGTAGTGTGCAAGACGAACTCGCTAAGGAGAACATCGCCAGGTGGAAAGGTAAAGAAAACAAAAATGTTTTTAATCTCTTGTACCAAACAGATAAATAGTTGGCGCATTTGCGGTCATGCGACGCGTTTAAACCAATCTCTTTTGAGCAGAACATTCGATGGATCACTCCGAAGACCAATATCTTAGGAAATTTTTCTTAACCACACCACAACACTATTTCACTTGGGGTGATTTGTTCATGCAGACCATCTGGAAGTTCCTGTTTGTAAAGATGCCTGCCGGTGACACTAACCAAGCTGTCAATTTGACACTTTAAAAACTAATCAACACCTGATTAGTGAATCAATTTGAACTACGAACATCCAATCTTTTTTTATAGAAGTGATATCCCTTCAATTTTCTTCTCTTTTCAATGCTTCTTTCTTCGTAAATTTTTGTGCTCTTGTCGGTAAGATTTCGTAAAAAATTGTCGTTTTCATTATCAACAGAACATAACCTACAAAACTAGTCTTCCTTAAAGCTTGCCAAAAGCATCACGTACATTATTCTCAATAATCTTAGTGTTACATAGTCAAGATTTGATTAAACTGAAATAAGAAGATCAATATACAAATTGTTAGAACAACATCCGCAGAATTAAGGTTGAAATAGATAAGTTTTACGAAGAATTCAACGCTTAGAGAGTGATAAATTACAACAGGATGAACAAAAAAGTTCGAGAAGGGGGCCGATGAATTAAAAGCCCGGAAGATGAAAGAAAAAGTTGTTTACAAAAACAGCCACCTCGAGCGAGTGTGTTGTATAAAAGCTCTAAATAAAGAAAGTGTTAAATATACTAAATTAAAAATGAAGAAGGTTTTTTCCCCAATAATGAATTGGTCAGAAAATAAACTTGAGAAAGAGAACTAAGAATGACAGAAAATATAGGATGGCAATTTCAAGGAGGGCCTGGTGCAAAAATTAGCTTAAGCAAAAGCAACTGCACACTGGTGCTGTCATCCACAGAAATCTAAAAACAAGTAGTTTACTCAAAAGAAGCTAATTGAACAGCTGTACCAACCCGCCTTCACGATAAGAGAAGGTATGAGTCGATCAAAACAAACAACAGCTGACAGTAAGCTAGGCTCAGATTCTACTTAAAAATGCTCTGTTTATTCACTTGATATTTCTATTTACCATGGAACCATCCATTGTCATAACCAATGTAAAACCACCGTCTCCTCAAGCACCAAGACTCGTCGTGTGACAGTGGATAAGGAGCGTGTCTGATCCAAGGTACAAAGCGCAAACTCAGTTACTGATTGGCCCGCTAGTAGGATCAAAACACGATGAAATGAATTATATCAAATCTGGAATTGCGGATGTTATTCAAATAAAGAAATGACTTTTACAAGGTAGATGAAAAAAAAATTGCCAAAATGTTTACATAGAGAAATGTCTAACATAATTCGGGTTTCAAAAGGACTCGAACCCATGCCCCCAATGAGCACACCATGGCCTCTAGCTGAGCCATGTACTGAAAAAGAAGACCTGAGTTTTAGTACAGGTTTTTGAAATTTTTTTCATTAAAATGAGTTAATGAGCTTTGTTAATTAAACTGAAAAGGGCTCTAATTAGTCTTAACTACACGGTACTCTCCTCTATTCCTACTTTGTTTTTATTATGTTTTTTTCTTCATGAGTATTTTTTCTAAAGAACCCTTATACTTGTAATTCCTAGAAACCTATCATAATCAGTCCAGAAGAGTTATCAAATTTGATAACCTAGCCCAGTAATGGACTCCTGCCTATCGCTGCTCAGATTCAAGTCCACGTGACATATTACTGAGGTAACAATACCATAATCAACATGTGGTCCGAAGACCGAACCACACTGACTTCATTGAGCTGACAGACTGTTTAAGCTAACTTGTGATTGTAGCTTAAATTGTCGAAATAGAAAGGTAAATACTTGATAACCATCCCGGACTGATAATAAGGATGGAGAAAAATGATAATGATAATAATAATAATAATGATGATGATGATGATGATGATGATAGCGATAATAGTGATAATAATAATAATTATGATAATTATGATAACAATAAAAAACTGCAAAAACTTGTTTCAAAGCTAGAAGTTGCTCTGAAGTTGCCAAGCTTAATTAGGACAGGCCTAGTTAAAAAACCTGGTGAGATTTGATTTAGTTTTTTCTTTAAATAGCTTCCATGAAATTAAACTACGATAAATATGGTAAACTGGATCGGAATAAAGTCAACAATTTCAAATTTTGCAGCCATGAGCAAGATAATCATAAAAAAAAAAAATAGTCTAACAACTTAACCGTATTTTCATCTATAGCGGTAAAGTCTTTTTAATGCTGCCTATTGGTTCGTTTTAAAATTATTGGAATGTGGATGAAAAAAATTTTCTGAGTTTCTAAGAGTGAAACTGCCTCTTTCCACATCGAGAGAATATAATCTATTTATAACCTCTTGTCCTCCTAGTCCGCAGTGTGGGAGAGTTTCAGTCCAGCGGACTGAATTCCACTTGAGAAAAGAACGAGAGGAAGACCAGGAGACTTGGCAACGAATAGTTGAATAAGACATGCGGGTAAGCGAAGCCAGTCAAGGAAAGCTGAGAAAGAAAGCGAGGACAGGCAGCAGAGGCGGTCTCTGGCAATGGCCTGAGATGTATAAAGGCACAACGAGAATTGACTGACCATGCAGGCCGACCTTAGCTGAAGGACAAGAAGACAGTGAGAGGAAAACCCGAGACGACGAGATGACACGACGACACGACGAGATGGGAACACAGCACGACGCAATAATGTAGCAACATGACGAGATGAGTGTTTGGCATGACGAGATGACAAGACGACACGACGAAATGACGAAATGAACATTTTTTTCCGAGATTTGACGCCATAGTTACCATTGAGGATTTAGCATATTGTCGACTGAGAAATATGGGCCAACAGTATGGTAGATACATGTACTAATCCTTACAAACCAACCAAGTATGCAAGGAATGGTCGAACGAGGGATGTTTTCGAAATATGAAAAAATGAAAAATTTGCATCTATTGCAATCAGGAACCTTTCAGGTTTCTCTAGGAAATTGTTTTTCCTAATCATAGAATATTGTGAACATGAAAACTGCCAGAATCGTACCTCCCAAGTTAACAAGTATGAGCTGCTACATACCTATGAAACAAAGCATACCTTTCTCGCATTCTTTACCAACGAACCTGGAGGGCACACACATTTGCATCTGCACCTCTCTTTTTTCTAGAAAGCTAGTCCCACCGTTCTCACAGGGATTTGGAGAGTTGAAAACCTTTAAAAAGAAGGTAGTTCAGTACCTCTGGTAGCTTAAAATTCGATGTTATCTGATTCCCTTTTATATTCCTTAAAAAGGAACTGAACAGATGTTTTCTCTGTTTTCTCTGTTTTCACTCTTCTAACTAAATCGGTAATACTACAGCCACATGCTCAAAGTTGATCTTTGTATACCCTACAAACTCAAAACCATTCAAACTTACAAACATACTTGGAAATAAAGTTCGCGTCCACGAGCCGTAAATTGTCGAATAGTTATAGAGCATGGTTTCATGGATTTTCGGTTTGCATGGACCAAAGAGACAAACAATAATACTTGAATTAAAATCACAAAAATCGTTGAAAGTGCCGTTCTTACCTCTGCACAAAAATCAAGGAAGACTTAGTTAAGGCCATCCAAGGAGAAGCGGGTACTTAAGAACTTGGTCTGATTCATGCATTACCCTATAGTAGAATATCGAACCCTTATACGCAAACAAACAAAATCAGATTGAAAGGCATGTTTAAAGTAACCAATCAAATTACAAGAAATGAAAGATGGAGAAATCCATCCGAAATATTCTGTTTTACTTTCAAATTAGATTTTAAAAAAGTGCTTTCGTTTCCTCTTTATTCATTCTGTGTGCTGGATGACTAAAAAGCGGGTGCTGAACTTAAAACCTTTTCTGCGGCGATTGAATTTGCAATATCAAAATGGATGTGATCAATTGGCGGCTTGGGTCTGAAATATACTTTAGATTGCAAATCGGACTGATTCTGCGCACTCGTTCCATTTTGGAATCACACGTATAATATCATCAGGGCGTACGTCCACGTGAATCCACTTCAGAGCTTAACCCCAACTCTGAATCGATAGGAAATTTTCCTCACAAGGTCCTGCCGAAGGGTCGTTATATTTTCCTCCAAAACCCTAATCATGTCAGCATCAGTTGTCAGCTTTTTCATGTTCTCCTCTAAAGCCCTAATCTTATCAACATCATCACCGACGTTCCATTAATCTAGTGATGAACTTTTGTAAAAGGGCATGACTACACCCCAGGATTTTAAGGAAATATTTACTCTCGCTGTAAAACGGGAGTGAATCCTCATTTTAAGTAACTTGCAAAGTCACTGCTTGCCCAGCGGTTTTTTTCAAAGAAAGAATCTAAAATATATATGGAACCCCGCTTTTTCTCGTGTAGGACACCCCACTGAGCCTGAGGTCGATCATTCCAGCCATCTCATTTCAGTTTGGAGAATGTTTAACCCCCTTCACGACAAAAGTAGAATTTCTATAGTTTCAAAACAGGCAAACTTTTTAGCTTCGAGCGTGAGTAGAAACACCTCAAGATCCACGAAATATAAGTAAAAGAAAAAAAGCAAAGGAAAATAATGAAAACCCTCACTTTTGTAGAAAAATCTTTCAATATGTTTCTATTAAAAAGTAAACCGCCATATGTTGAGTCCTATTTTGATTTACGAGATTTTCACTTAACTGCAAACCTCCACTTTTGTAGCATTCACAATCGCCGATTTTTCCGGACACCGTTAGCAAACTTAGAAGAGGGCAACAACTGAAATCAAGCATGCGATGATAGCTGGGCCTGGATATCGCCAATTTGATCGCTTCACCTAGTTCGATATACCTTCCATCGTTTCGTAAAATGTGTTCGATGAATCAAGTTCCGCTTCAACTTGACCGATGTCTTCTTTTAAGTTACCTCTGATGTCTTTTAGATACACCGGTTTCTCCATAATAGGATCCTCGCCGTTGTAAGTGCGCGCCAATTTGAGTCTATCTATAAATGTCTTGAACCATCTAATCTTAGCTAAATTTAACAATGACCCCATTTTTGGTTTTGATAATCATCTGCTCCTCAGTGAGCGTGTATAATTGCATATTTACAAAGATTTTCTGATGTGCCCCCAACTTAATTGGAAATTTATCACATCAGAAACTTATCACAGATACGCAATTACTCGTTACGCTCAGTGTTGATGGGGGCAAAAGATATTTATCTGTGCTTGATGTTGTAATTTGAATTTTTTTGAACAAAGACTCCTTGAAGTCTGAAGTTAAAAAAAAACATAGAAACGAAGGAAACAAAAACAAAACAAAGAAAACAAAATTAAAAACAAAAATTTTTGTTAACAAAATTAACATTCAAACTCCTAGTAGTTAGTTCCATCCTAGACAAGACGGGTTTTTTTTAGCCCATAAGAAAAAAGAAAAAGATTTATCAGAAGAATACAGAAGCACCGATTCACAACTGTCTTTTCTTTCTGCTCAAGACAATAAACATACCGTATGTTGACCTTATTAAGTTTTAATTTATGCAAATTTGTCACGGCCGACCGCGTCTGCTTCACTCACCGGGAGGGGGGAAGGGAATGGAAAAAAGTCAAGGTGAAAGCGAGGTTCACATTCCAGCTTAACTTATCTTGGTAAACTACTGGGTAAATTGGTTTCGATTGGTTCCTCAGAATCTATGGGTAGCGTCTTTTTTCCAAAATACTAAAGCCACCAAACGGTAGTTAATGTTCCTGTGCTGTAATGTAAAGAGCAGCAGGATAATTTTCCTTTCTAACGTCGTTAAAGGCAAAAAAGAACGTGGTTTATTCAGGACTGCACGTTGAACCCTCGTTGGCAATCGCAGTCGCCAGTTTACAAGCGTATGCGTGGTTTAGATGCACAGACGGCACACGTTGTCAAGCACACTACGGGACAAGAAAGTACTATCTTAAAATGAAGAAAATTTACTTTTATACGAAACTTTTGTGCGACCTTAAAGTAAAAATTGTGGAATCTATACGTGTAACATTTTTCCACCCTAGAAGATCATGACGTTTCTAATATGCGATTGCTGCTCTAAAAATTTTTCAACTAAGTCAGAATAAATTAACTTTGAGCTGAATAAGCACTTTAAAAGTGACTTTTGAGCGTCGCTGTTTCTAAAAAAAATCGCTTTCTACCAAATTTCGTTGAGACCTAAAATAGACAATGATATAGAGATCGGCTGATCAGTTGTACATATTAATAATGGTACTTTTATCTATGGTGTACAAGAAAATATATAAAGCAGGCCTAGTGCATATGCAAATAAAGTAATTCGAAGCGGTGCCTTCAATACGTTTGTTTACCTTCCGGTATTTCTAAGAATCCAAAGGGATTGTCTACGAAATGGATCAGTACTTTAAAGAAAAAAAATGTCACTAAGATGTTCGCGGCTTTTCAGGATTTCTATCATTAAAACACTGACAATTTTTGTCACTCCAAACCAACCAGGAGTTCTGGGTTTAAGTCAGGTTCTGAGATTAGCCTGGTGTCAAAACGAAGTGACGGTTTTTTTAAACAACAGTTACTTTACTTTCGCCTGCAAATCCATTGAGCACAGCGATGCGACCATCCGCAGTCACTGCAATCCTTGGTGCAATATATTCCTTTTTCTCCTGGACATCCTTATCCTCGTATACATGAAAACTGGTTACTAGTTCGCTGCATTCACTGAACACTGAAACTTGTACGATTCCATCTGATCTGTTCGCAATGAGGACATGTTTGCTCGGGGAATGGAATGCTATAGTTTCACTTCCCTTTGCTTTAATTTCTTCGTACATTTGATGCGGCTGTGTTTTTTCACCGAATTTTTTCACGCTACCATCGTCGTTCAATACCAATACGATTCCATTATCAGTAATAGCTATATCTTTTGGTTTCAAGGGGGCGTTTGACTCTTGGGACTTCTTTTGCTCTTTTGTGTCTTTGTCTTCAGGCTCTTTAGATTTCCTGGCGCCTTTAGGGGTGCTGTCAGAACGATCTGTCTCTTTCTGTGCTTTGGGCTCTTTAGGGTCTTCTTCATTTGGACTCTTTAATCCATTTGCCTCTTCAGGTTCACTGGGCTCTGCTGGGTCTTCCGGCACAATGCTGCGGACGTACCGGCCGTTCTTATGCGCATAAAGTTCCACCACACATCGATTCGATGCAGGTTCCTCGTTAATGACAAGGATTTCCTTGTTGTCATTGGCGACCAGCGAGCGGCGTACTGATCCTTCCCTCAAGCGAAACCTGCTTTTCAAGTTACCGTTTTGATCAAACACACGGACTTCGTGGTGATATTTATCTATCATGATCAGCACGAACAGATTATCTTCGTGATCAGTACTTACACCACAGACATCTTCGTCAGCCAATCGACGACTGAGGGGTTGGAAAGAGCGCAAAAAGATGCCCTTTTCGTCGAAAATTTTAACCATCTGATCACCTTTGTCTACTACTATGAAATGTCCCTCTTTGTTTATGGCAATGTCTTGTGCAACCTTCAACTTTTTTTCTTTTTCGGGGCCTTGACCAAATGACCATGGAAAGCAATAGCGCTCCGTATCACGATTTTTAGAAAGCGTTTCAAAAATTCTTATGTCGCGCAATGGGTCGACTTTCTTCTTTTCCACCTCAATGAAGGGCCAAATCCAACAAAGTTCGTTGGGTTTGTCAGCAATTTCAGCAATTCGGCTAATTTCGTAAACGACGCTATTAGTGTGATACACACCCAAGAAACAGTTTTTGATGTGTTCGTCGCCTCTGAAGGGATCTTTTTTTCCGCTTCTAAAGATTTGTCTAAAAATTTCCTTGACCCTTTCCATTTTATTAAGATCACCAAGCCAAATTTCACATACCGGTAGTGCCCTCGAGGGATCTTTAATCTTTGTCAGTATGGCAGCCGTAACGCCAACATTGGCAGCAAGAATCTGCTCAGCTGTTGAAAGGCCATCGCTATTAAAAGCAGCCCTTGCATTATCACAAGCCTTCTCGAACATTTTCCGGGCATCCTTAAGTCCTTCGGCTGCTTCATCGAGGTCAGCCAGCTTTGATAAATGTGTCATGGTCTCTGTCAGCAAAGATGCTTCTACAAAAGTGTCATTTATTTTCAATTCTGCACGCGGTGTCTTTTCCACCTGGTCACGATTTTGGTTGTTTAACTCCTTCTCCAAATATTTCAGGCCTGTTTGAAACTCTTGCAAACTTGTTTTAAGCTGCCATTTTTTCTGATTCTTGATTAGTAACGCGACTTGGTCAATACGGCTTACGATTAGATGCAACAGCGTTTTGTGTTTTGTATCGTCATCTTGAAGCTTTTTGAAAGCTAGCCTCTGGCAAGCCTTCAAACTAAACCCGCAGAGACCTAGTAGTAACGAAGGTGCTAATTCCATCTCTTGCACTTTTTTACTTTGCTGAGCTCCAAACCAACCTACACTGAACAATAGATACGTTGGTATGTCCGTCGACAATCAATGCGTCAAAATGAAAGCTCTGAAAATAAATGAAACTTGAAAAGGATACTCAGAATAAGAATAAAAGCCTGATAGAGTCTTGACCCAAGTAAATCTACGGACCGCAATGTCAATCACGTGTGAAAAAATAATGAGTCTCACAAGGCCCGAAAGTAGACAGCTTGTTTGAATAAAGACACCCTTCATCAACAAAATGACACAGGGATAACAAAGGGTATTTTCAAGTCTGAAAAAGCTTCATTTGCATCGCGTCGTTGATATCTTTGACTGTTTGAAAACGTAACATCTCTTTAATCATTTTGGAGGCAAAAGCTTGAAACAGCTTGAAACACATCACTTTGAATAGGGCACAAAAAGAACTACGTTTCTGGGAAAACTTTTGTCTGAAAGGTGATTTCATTCAGATATTTGTGTAGAACAGCCGTTGAAGGACCATGCTTCTTTCTAGTGGCTTACATTTCGCTGAGCAAAAGAAAATTATGGATAGATTCAAAAAAGATTTTCTACTGACTTAAATGAATTAGTCATACTTATTTAGGACCGATAATCTGATCTAACTAACTTAGTTATGGCGCGCAAATAACAGAAGCCCCTCCCTCCCTCTGCTTTTCCCAGAATCAAAATAATATTTACACTGCAACCATAAATAATAACTCGAGAGATAAAAAATTATTTTCTTTGGATGACATTTTGACATTCTTTTTTATACGCTTAGTTTAGCACAGATAATTGATTTGAAGTGAATTCCATAATCGCTGGACGAGCTTCGTTTTTGAACAGTAAAGACTGAATGCACGGCCCAAAGCCCTGAAAAGTTGGGCCATTTCAAGTTTAAATACAAATGCAACGTAACTCTTTTAGTACCAAATATTTTCAAAGTGAACTGAATATGGCCTGGAAGCATATGTTTTGCATAGTTTTGTTGATAAGAACGAATCCAATTTTGCTCTCTCTCGATGTGTCGTGTGATCTTGTCCTTGAGAGACACGTAGAGTTTTGATATTATTTCTTCCCATTTTTTAAACTGAGATTCGTAAGGGAAGAGGAAAAGTTGTTCTCTGCGAGTGGAGTCAAATTCTACATCCAGCGCTTGTGTTTGGTCGTTAACAGGTAATTGTACCACACATGAACTATAAATGTTGTCGTTTCCGAACTGATTACAATTACCCTTCTAGTGTGCTTTAGCTTTATTGATTGATTATCTTAAACATTGCTTCGGCTGATTGAGATGTACCAAGAAAATGTTTGAGGAAGATGTATGGGACCATTTTTGTGTTTGTTTTTTAGACATTAATTATCTCTGCCAAGCGCGTCTTGTAAACAGTATTTCAAATCGCATCCTGGGTGGAGACTATACATTAATTTACTTGCAGTATTTGTATTCAAAAACGAGCCAGGGCATTTGAATGAATGAGGGGATGTTTATTTTCGGGCACCACTGTTTGAAAGGCAGGCCTAGAATCTTATAGATACCTACGCTTTTTTCCTTTCTTGTGCTGCATTCATGTAAACATAAACGATTATGATTGAAGAAGGACACTTCATCATATGCTAGCTAGATTGGTCTCTTTTTCTTAACTCTCAGAGCGAATAACAGCGACCCATAAGTCAGTGCTTTGGTAGTGACCTAAAGATCATGTTTTGATGTGTTGGCCCTCCCACTCTGAGGCGACACTTATTAGGATTGGTGTTATTTTTCGGTAAAACACCATCCGCGTTGTCTGCCAACAAATACAAATCTGACCCATGATTGTTAGGAACTCTAAAAATGAATTTATATTTTTTTCTTGTATCAGTAAATGCTTGCTGAAATGTGTGCATATTAAGACTTTTCTGTCGACGTCTTTCTGGGTTTTTTAATTTTGATACACGCGGAATATGACACGTCTCTTGTGATTGCCAATCAAACTTTGGGAAAATGTGATATAACTCGAACCATCCACAAATGCATCATACAGGCCCTCCATGACAAAGGTTAAGTCAATAAAATTGATGCTTTGTTTGAGACAGTTAACGATCGATAAGCAAAGATTTTCTATTTGAATCATCGAAGAAATTCATCGAAGACATTTTACTCTGTAACGCGCCACGTCTGTACATTTAGAGTTGAGAGGCTATCGAATTATTTTTTCATCATAGGAGATGGCTCCAGATGGAAAAGAATTGCTTGAGACTGTTTTTGGCTTGCTTACGAAAAAAGTTCGAAAGACGAAAGAAAGGATGTTGGAAGAAGATGTCGTTAGTGAAATCGAATCGATAAAATTTCAATTGGATGCACTCGCAAAATCACATCTTCTAACAAGTATCACTTTGTTTAAAGAAGGTGTACTTTCCCTTTTCAAAATATTAGACAGAAAGGAAAGAGGTGATTATCGCATGGAAACAGCACAGTTAACCGCAGATTTATCTGCAGAGAATCCGAAGGATGTGTCCCAAGAATCACCAACAGGTCTTTCGAGTACATTTTATCGGGGTTTGCAAGACTTCAAACTAGAAAACTTGGATGAGGAAGGCCACCGAGCGCTATTGACTGCGAAAGAGGATTTTCACCAGGCCCGCCTGAAAGCAACAGAAGCGTTTAACAATGAAAGTCTGAGCACGTTGAATCGCATTCAAGCAACAGCCATCCGTGTTGCAGCAAAAATTCTCGAAAACGTGGATCATCCCCAAGAGGCGCTGGCGGTGTGTAAATTGTCTCTTGATGATCTGCACTCCTTGAAGAGAGTGCAGGAAAGTTTTAGCGGGGAACTAACAAAGGGTTTTCGCAGACCTCTTTTTGGCAAAGAAGAGCGCAGGCAGATAATTGCGTCTGTTTGTCAAATGAACCGGGTCATCTACGACGTCATGTCGATGATCGGTAAAAGTGGGGAGCTGCTCTCGCTACCTTTGATCGGCGAGGGAAAGGATGCAATAAATCCACTGCATGACTCCAGAGTCGCCGAAATTCTTTGTAGACTTGACATGGAGCAGTTTTCCGTCCAGCCCTTGACACTTGGCCAACAAGATGAAAAAGACAACCAGCTTAAAATACCACAGGGTATTGCTGCAGACTCACAAGGTCGCATCATTGTTGGCGATGAATGGGATTGCAATGTTAAAGTTTACGATGGCTTTGGCAAGTTCCAGTACTCATTTCCATGTCCTCCGAGTGGCGATCCCAACATAGTCTCAAGCATCGCCGATATAGCTACCGATGACAGTGACAACGCCTATATCTTGATTGAGGTGGAGAAGTCGACGATGGCGTACTACCAAGTGTATGCGTTTACGAAGCAGGCGGTGTTACAGTGCTTTTCTCTCAAAGAAGAGCCCAGAAAAGTCTTAAGGATGACATTAAACAAAGAAAACGAAGTTCTCGTGATAGCCGACGTTTTGGACCAAAGCTATACCAAGAGCATTGTGGAGGTTTATAACAAAGCAGGGCAGTTCCTGCACAGCTTCGGAGAACAACATTTGAAATGTTCACAAGATTTGACTGTAGCTGGAGATGGCCGTATTCTTGTCCTGGACAAAGACGATGATTGCTCTCTTACCATTCACGTCTTTCTCCCAAATGGAAAACATTCATTCCAGTTTAACGTAGATAAACAAGAAGAACCTTGTAACCAAAGATCAAGGCCCTCCATTGCTTGTTACCAGGCACTTAATAATGTAGTTGTGGCTGTACCTTGTAAGAATTCTATGGGAACGGGACACTGCGTAAAAATTACCGTTTACGCCTTAAAAGATGACAGACATGAATCTGTTCGCAGCATTGAACTCGCCGCAAATGAACAGGTTTCTACCCGAGGAATCACAGTCACCTTTAAGGGACACGTCGCAGTCGCTATACTTGATAGGAGCGAAGGTAACAGCAGAGCGATTTTTGTGTAGAACAAGGCTGTGGTATCGCATCAAATCGATGTGTTTACGTTTGCTAATGACTATGGCAATTCTTTTTTTAAAAACATATTTTGAACATTTGAGCGCTGCAGCTGTTTAATCTAATTGTAGTCGTTGCATAGTTGTTAAAAAAAA